TATATCTATTATTTAGTGAACCACCAAAACCTCCATCAAAACCATTAACACGACAAGTTGCTACTGATACTCTTAATTTAATAACACAAAAAGATACAGCTTGTGGTTCAAATGAATCAACATACAATCGAGATATGTCAACTGATACAATATCATTGATTTCATATTATGATCGTGCAAGTGGACATGATATACCACCTGAATTACTTTCACGTCATGTATCAACTGATACACGTACATTGATCTCTATTCGAGATAATTTTTCTCTAACAACACCATTAATACAACCAATACATATTGATGCACAAACACAATCAATACCTATTGTACAACATGATGCATCATCAAATACATTTGCACCAGCCGAACAACGACATATAGGTGTACAAGTAAGATATAATATTGATTTAAAAAATAAGATAATGATTTCTTTTTTTTTTTTTTTGTTTTTCTGTTGTTTGTTATTTTCTTTTAGGCTGTACAAGAACAACCTACAATTAAACATCAAATAACATCAACAGAACTTGATATTTTTCATCAACTTGGTTATTTACGTCATAATATAACAAATACAGATATTAAACGATCAACAGATCGTTCAACATTAACTGAACGTCAACAATTACGTGATTTAGCTGTGAATACAGAACCTAAAATAATGTATTCAAAAGAGATTGGTGATTATGATGTACGTATAAATGATAATAAATATGAAGAATTAATATCATATTCTTTATATGGACAATCAAAAACATTTGAATGTGGACAACAAACAGATTTATATGATACAAAACGTCATGTTGGTTATATTAATAATGAATTAAAAGATGATGATGAAGATATTATTGAAGAACAACGACAAGAAATAATTACATTTCGTTTACCATTAGAAAAACGAACAACAGAAGAAATTTATGAAACAACAATTATAACAGAAACAAAACAAAATAATCAACAAATTGAAGAAATATATTGTAAAAATAAACTTGATAATTTTGATAAAAAAATAATTAAAAGTGAAACAACAGAATGGAGAAAAACATCAGATAATAATAATGATATTAAATCATCAATAAATACTCAACAACAACAAGAAATTCGACGATCAAAATCACCTGAAGAACTTATTGAAGAATCTTATGAAATAGTATCAACACTTACAAAACCACATGATGGAAATTTTTTAATTGCAGCAACTAGTCCACAATCAACAATAGTACAAAAATATAATGATTTATCAACATCAAAATTACAATCAAGTGAAGATGAAAGTTCTTATTGTGAAGAATGGACAGTAACTGAAGCTAAACGTAAACAAGATGGACAAACAATAAAAACTATTATTGACAGGTAAAATTTAAAATAATAAGACGTGAACACAAAACTTCTCTGTATAAATAAACATTGTTTATTTTGTTTTTTTTGCTTATTTACAATTGATATTCCAAAGTAGGCATTAGATTTATATAACAGTATCATAATAATGTCAAAAAAATAATAAAAAAAAAATCTTTTCTTTTTTTTCAAATAATAAAACTTTTAAAATTGTCAAATCAATTTTTCTTTAAAAAATTTTAAATTAATATAAAAGAAATATTCTTATGCTTTATAAAAAAAAAAAATTTCTTTTGTTAATTTTAATATTTAATAGAGAACAATAATATTCATATGATTTTCTATATATAGTTTGCTTTATAATGCTTTTCAAATGCTTATTTATCTAGAGGTGGTCATCATCGATATAATGTTGATGCTGATAGTACTTCTGCTTCATTAAATCAGGTGCAACAACAAATTGGGTAGGCTTAAGAGTTCAAATTAGATATATATGCTTATAGTATTCTTAATCTCAGTACTGGAACACAAATACATCAACATGAAGAAATAACTCAATTATCACCATCAACTATACGTAAAACAACAACATTTGAATCTCGACGTAAACTTGATATTGATGAACCAACAATAACTATAGATACATATGCATCAAGTATTATTCCACATACAAATCGAGATATAACAAGTAATGAACAACAATTGGAAGAAAATTATGAAGTTACATTATTATCAAATTTTGATGAATCTGGTTTAAGAATTTTTACATCAAAACCTATGACAATATCATCAAATACAGATGACGAGTATGTTTTTTTTTTTTTATTTAAATAAATCAATAGAAAAATATATTTATTTATATAAATAGATTTGAACTTGATGAAGAACTTTATATTGCATGTGCTATTGTTAATGAATCTTTATTTGATATTAATGCTGATAAGAAAAAAGTGGTAAGATTTAATAAATTTATTTTATATTTATTAATTAATTAATTAATTTTTTTTGTTTATTTCATAGAATAATTGTCTTCAATTAATTCAACAAGAATGGTTTCGTATATCAAGTCAAAAAGAAGTTAATTTTCGTTTAATTGAAAAATTTTTGAACAATATCAAAGAAAATTTTTCGAATTTTTTACTCGAACGTATTATTAATTTACAAGATGTAAATGTAAGAAAAGAAAACTCAAAAAAAATAAAAAAATTCATCATTATATATTTAGGGACATACAGCTCTTCATTATTGTGTTACTCATGGTCATTGGCATATTATTAATATGTTATTAGATACAAAAGTTTGTGATGTTTGTTTACAAAATAATGCTGGATATACAGGTAAAGATTTTTGTTTGTTTTCATATAGAATAATTTTGATATATATATATATATATATTTAATTTAAGCTGTGATGATGGCTGCAGTTATTGATATAACTAATGATGATCAACGACAAAGCGTTCGTCGTTTATTTCAGGAATCAGGAAATCTAAATGTTAAAACAACTGATGTATAAATTTGAATTAAAAAAAAAACAAACAAACTTAAATGATTTCTTATTATTTAGAATAATCAAACAGCATTAATGCTTGCTGTTAAACATGGAAAAGAAGATTTGGTTGAATTATTATTAGAGAGTGGTGCAGCAGTTAATTTACAAGATTCCGAAGGATCAACAGCATTAATGTGTGCTGTTGAACATGGATCATTAAATATTGTTAAATTACTTTTAACACGACCGGAATGTGATGTTGATATTGTTGATAATGTAATAAACAATTTTTCAAAAAAAAAAAAATTTTTAATTTATTTATTACGAAAAATTTTTATTTGTTTAGAATGGACAAACAGCTATTAGTATTGCAACAAATAAAAATCGAAAAAATATTCTTGTTGAACTTTATGCAAAAATTAAAGAACAAAAAGGACATCATTCGGTAAATGATCTAGTTCATTTTTTTTTTCTCCTTTCTATTATTAACCTTGCAAAAAAAAGAAAAATAATCTGTAGATAGTTCGATATTTCAAATAAGTATACATATCACCGACGAAAAAACAAAAAATAAGAGAATTTTAATACAGATTATTTATTTTTATAGTATAAATTTTTGAGTCGAGTTAACAAATAATTATTATTTTAACTAAGCTAATTTATATGTCATTGAAAATTAATGGCGATTAGTAAGCTACATATTTTTCAAGAGTTTTATATTGATATTGTATCATCGAAAACAAATAACTATTAGTTTATTGCTTAAATTACTGTAAAATCTTTATATTCACATCAATAAACAAGACACGATTACTTGAAATAATTTTTGTTTTCCAAATCAGTAAAGAACATACGTCTAATGATAAGACTTAAATTAACCATCAAATTGACATAGTTTGTCTGGTATTATGCGTATAATTTGTTTTTGTATGCATGTGAAATATCGAACTGTCTATGTTTAAATTAGTTTTTCGTACGAAATTCAAGATCTTATATATATATACATGCATGTTTTTCTTTCATTTCCCTTTCATGCGAATCTTATATATATATATGTGTATGTGTCTGTCCTTGTCCTGGCTTTCTAGGCATTTAGCAACAAATCTCGTATTTCAAAAAAATTATCAGTAACTGACAGGTAATATAAAATTAGCTGATATATATATATAAGTATATAGTTGTGTTAATTAATATAGTTATTAGAAAAACTAATATAGTTCTATGCAAAATTTTCATTGTTTTTTTTTTCTTCTTTTGTAACATAAAATAATTAATATAAGAGTTTTGTTCAAATTAGTTCATATGAAGATTTGAAGAAATTTAACAAAGAATTTCAATCGTCGATTAAATTTATTATGTTTGTTATATTCATAAGCATTATAATTTATTTTTTATTTCTATTTCATTGATTAGAAGGTTGGCTTTCCCCAAATTAACCTTTTGATTTTTTTTTCTTCTTGCTTGAATTTTTGATTTTAGATATTTTATTTTTTGCATGAATTTTGTTTTTTTTTTTTTTTATATTTGATTTTAAGAAAAGAGAGAAAGAAAAAAAAAACCAACAATTCGAAATTTTCTTTTTAGATCGACAATGAACAGTCTCAATCAGAAAACAACAACGACAGAGACAATATCACCTTCATCTCGACAAAATAGTTCTACAGAAATAACTCCAACAGTATCAACATTTCGACGTTATTATTCTAATAAATAATAGGCCAACTTAGTTTAATCGTATTTTGCCTAGTCTTGCTTCTTTTTTATATTTACATTTATTGTTCAATGATTAATTTGAAAGTATTTAAATTTAAACAAACAATTCGACTATATGAAACGATATGTGCTTATGCGTTCTTTTCTTTTTTTGCTTTTTTTTGTTTTAAAGTGTGTGTATAACAGAAAGTGGGCATTTATATGTATATGAATAGATCACAGAAATGGATATATTATAACAAAGTTAAATTAATAATATTTAATCATAATAAGAAGGAAAGTCGAG